ATAATACCAGTAAAACCGCCAAAGGTAAATAATAATAAGAAACCAAAGGCAAACATCATAGGAGCAAAATAGTGTAATTTACCACCATAAATGGTCGCTCAAAAAATAAACTTTTAGCTCAAAATTGAAAATAGAATAATAGAGCTCAGCTAGTTTAAATCCTTAAACTCTTCGAATAAGGTTGGATAACTCCTTAAAAAACCATATAAATAAATTGAAAATTACACAGTAATTAAAAAATTTAATAAAATATTAACTATATAAAGAAGTATATATTTTATAATATTAGAAAGATATCTAATATATTACTTAGGATAATTTGTGGCGTCTAATCTCTACGCTTTTACAAAAGTAGTTTCCCACTTTGACTTAGTTCGACGATATCCCTAAATATATTATTATTCTTATATTTATATATATGAGGGGGTCCCTCGAGTTTGCCACTCATCTATTTTCTAATTTATATAACTTAGATTTACACTTAAAAGGTCTTATTTTAGATCTAATTCGATTAAAACTGGCTGTTTTAATATAAATAACAGGACGATTACGATGAAAATGTATATTACTACGTATTTGAAATTTAATTAAAAATACATTCATTATAAAAACTACTTCTTTAATTGTAAAATTATCTGTTTGTAATATAATAGTATTACCTTTTTTAGTACCATCACACTTAATCCAATGAGCTAACATTTGATAATTTAAATAATCATATAAATTTAAAGGAACAATTTTTTTATTATTGACATAAAAATCTTGATATAATTCATTAAAACAAGGTAAAGTACGAGTAAAAAAAATTAAACTATGAAAAGTTTTATTATTAAGTTTTGAAATTTTAAATTTAGGATAATTTTGACAAAAATGTGAAAGAGAAAAAAAAGAAAATAATAAATATTCAGAATGAATTATAGATTGTTTCATAAAAAATCTGATACCTCCGCTTTTATTTTTTTGTAACCATCCATCAGAAATTAATAAACCAGCTAATAAACTTTTAGTTTGAGAGGTTAAAAAAATCATATGTCTAATAATTTGAGTATAAAAGGGATAATGAACAGTAGAATATAAATAAGAACCATAGGGAATTAATTGAGTAGAATTAGAAGAAGAGATCTGATAAATTTTAGATCTAGGAAATTTTAAAAATAAATTAGAATCACTGTAGGTCAAATTTTTCTTGCTGAAGGAAAACGACAACCAACTAAAAATTTTAACACCTGTAGGTAAAGCTATTATAATTGTAGCAGCAGTAAAATAAGCTCTACTATCAATATCTAAACCAACAATATACATGTGATGACTCCAAACGATAAAACCTAAAACACCAATAGAGATCATAGCGTAAACCATACCAACTTGACCAAAAATTGATTTTTGACTAAAACGAGATAAAACATGAGAAATCATACCAAAACCAGGTATAATTAAAATATAAACTTCAGGATGACCAAAAAACCCATAACTAAAAATCTTATGTACTCAATTTAAGATCCCTCTTTAACTGTTTTTTGTTAAAGTTGTGCAGATTTACATCTGTTAGTTACCGACTATACATCAAGCAAATTAAAAAATTTACCCAATTCTGACCTAGTCTGTAGCGAATTATAAAATTAAATTAGAATCCGACGGTCTTTTATATAATAATCCTTATTTAGGCTTATTTTAGAGATTAATTGACCGTTTTCAGAATTGTAGCCCTTAAAATTAATATTTCTATTAATCTATACTTAACCCCGTCAGGTTTAGCAATTCATTTGAATTGGGACTAGAAGAATGGTATTAAAACTATTTATTAGTTTTAATTTATTAATAAAGATTTTATAGATCACTAGGATCATTTAAAAAAAATTTTAAAAATCTTTCACATCTACTTTATTAATTTCTTATATTAATACTATTATAATATTCTTTTAATAAAAATTGATTAATATAAACCCCTCCTGTTTTTCTTAGAAATTACATTAAAACTTATAAAATTTAAAAATCTTAATTTATTTACTCTATTTTCTATTAATATTATGACTTAATAAAACTAATTCTTTTCTAATTTTAGAATTTAAATGTTCTTTATTTATTAATCTTTTATTTAATTCTTTAAAGGCTAAATAACTTAAACCTTTAATACCCATAAAAGGAAATTTATCAAAATAAGGATATAATTTTTGAATATTATCTAAACCTGATACTATATAAGTATAATTTTCTTTTTTTGAATGACCTTCCTAAGTACCGACATGAAATAATAAAAGTATTTCAGCTAAAATTGGAATATTGATATCACCTTTTTGAGCTAAAATATATCTTGTTCTAAAAGCATTAGAATTACTTAATAAACTAATAGTAAAACAACCTTCAGCTTCAGTAAAACCTAATAACCAAGGATTATTTAAAGAAACTTTATTTTTAGAAACAATATAAGGAATAGGTTCTAAAGATTTAGCATTAAAAGATAATAAAAAAAGATTAAATTGTATTTTACGTGAAGGTAAAATTAAATTACCATTAAAAAGTAAAAGGATTAAACGTAAATTAGCAGTTGTTTGTATTATAAATCTATAAACACGTGGACCTTGTTTAATAATATGACCCTTTAATAAAGTATTTTTAATAGTATGAAGTAATTCTACATTATCTACACCTTGTACTAAAATGAAAGTTAATTCTTTGCGATTATTAATTAAAAAACAACCATCACCTTCAGTAAAACCTATTAACCAATAAAGAAAATTATCAGAAGGAGGAATAGCATTATTATGAAATTTGCTCCATTCATTTTTGAAAAGTAAAAAGGGACTAAGAGTTAAAACATAGGTATAAGTAGAAAATAATGTAAAATTTGTCAAAAAAAGATGTTGATATAAAATGGGATCACCACCTCCATTAGGATCATAAAAACTAGTATTTATATTACGATCTAATAATAACATGGTAATTGCACCAGCTAATACAGGTAAAGATAATACTAATAACCAAGCGGTAATAAAAATAGCCCATACAAATAAAGGTAATCTTTCAAAGGTTAAACCTGGAGATCTAATATTAATAATGGTTACAATTAAATTAATAGCACCCTATAAAGAAGAGATACCAGCAATATGTAAACTTAAAATAGATAAATCTACAGCAGCACCTAAATGATAAGGTGAATCAGATAAAGGAGGATAAATAGTCCAACCAGTACCAGCACCACCAGCAAATAAACCAGTAACTAATAAGATTAAAGAAGGAGGTAATAACCAAAAACCTACATTATTTAAACGAGGCATAGCCATATCCATACAACCAATCTTTACGGGTACTAACCAATTCAATAAACAGAACTGCTTTCACAGCTCATTGGACTATATCTTCTCCCAATTATAATAATAATTTAGGGAGCCTACGTATAAAAAATCATATTGATTTCTGCATAAATGCGTCTCTGAGGATCCTACTTAAGTTTTAAACTTGTTGGTTTCCTGCGGATAATCCATTGTAATATAACTTCTTTTTTTATATATTATTTTATTCAAAAGCAAGCTCATTGTTCCTAATAATAATAAGAAGTTCTTTAGGAGTTTCCCGACATATAGTAGAGTAATAACAAAAGTTTTACAACAATTGACGGCAATTGATTTTTTTTTATTTTCAATTAAATTGAAGGTGGAAATTTACATCCTTACTAATGTTTAAAAGAAAAAGAGGTACGTTTTGAATTCATACCTGATTTAATAATTTTAGCTTCTTTTATCTTTTCTAATTTAGGTAAATTATCTAAATCTATAATTTTACACCAATCTTTATAATCATTATATTTACTTGAATATAAAGGAAATTTATTTAAATAATCTCGCTATAAATATTGAGATTTTTTAGTACCGGCTATTAAAATATATTGATAAGTCTTAGAATTATTTAATATTCTAACTCTATTCTTTACATTTACACCTAAATAATGAGCAATAATAGATATAATATCGATGTAATTAGTACTAATTAATTTATTTAAAATAGATTTATGATAAAATTGTCGTAATTCTAATTTAAATTTAGCTTGAATTCTAATATTATTAATATTTTTTCTTTCAGCTATAATTATATTAAAATTACCATCTGCATCTATTATACCTGCTAACCAACTATTAGATTGAATAGGTGAAGTATCACAAATATTAAATTTACTTAAAGGGGGTTTATTTAAAAATTTAAGACTTTTTAAATTTAACCAATCTATCTATTTGTTTAAAGCTTCCTATTTAGGAGTTCTATAATAACCATTAGTCTATTCAACGATATGATATAAACCAGCATAAGTAGATATTTCAAGTAATAAATAATTACCTTTTTTAGGTATAATTATTTTACCATAACCTATACGATTAATTAAATAATCAACAAAAGGTTTATCATGATAAAGAAAACAGATACGAATGACAGCATTTGCATTTTTATTAATATCAGGTATTAAAATAGTACCATTTCCTTCAATAAATCCTGTTAAATAAGGTCCAAAGGAATCTTTTTTTTTAATAGGAGATTCTAAATATTTTGTAAATTGAGAAAAAAGTCTACCAAAACCACCAATTAAAGCAGGCATGACCATAAAAAAGATCATTAAAATAGCATGACCAGTAATAGTGACATTATAATCATGAGCATTACCTAAGAAATAGATAGCGCCACCACCAGCTAATTCTAAACGAATTAAGAAAGATAAAGCACTACCAACTAAGCCAGATAAACCAGCAAAAAGGATATATAAAACGCCAATATCTTTAGCATTAGTACTTAATAACCATCTATTAAAAAAAGCTAAAGACCCATAACTGGACATAAGAAAAAGAGAAAGAACCCCAATTAAGCATTTACTGAAAAATTAAATGACATTAAAAACAAAAAAGATTGTTCAAAAATAGGGGGATATATAAAAAAAAAATAAAGGATAATAATAAATAATAGAATAATAAATTCAAAAGATATTTGAATTAATATAAACCTCTTTAAATAAGTGGTTGAGGCGGTAGGAATCGAACCTACTTTAGGCTTAGCCCACTGATTTACAGTCAGTTCCCTAACCATTCAGGCACACCTCTACCCCTAATTGGATTCGAACCAATAATATCTGAATTTAGAATTCAGTGACTTTAACCTGTTTGTCTATAGGGGCTATACTGCCGATGGAATTCGAATCCATATCTTGACCATTAAAAGTGGTAAGCTTTATCCATTAAGCTACGGCAGTGAATTTTTTTTTTAATTAATTATTCTATTAATTAATTTTTTGAAACTTAAAAAGCATATAAAATCATTAAAGACATCTTTAAAGAGAATAAACCTAAAGCTTCTACTAAAGCAAAACCTAAAATTGTGATGTTGAATAATTCAGCTTTTAATCCTGGGTTACGAGATGTACCTTGAATATAAGCAGCAAATACTAAACCAATACCAATAGCAGCACCAGCTAATCCAAAAGTAGCTAAACCACCTCCAATTAATTTACCAGCCTTTAACATAATTACATTATTTTTTAATATGACTTAATTACTTATTATTCATTATATATTCAAAATAAAAAATACTTTTTTTTGTCTTTGCTTTTTTTATTTTTCTTTTATTCTTTTTTACTATTCTTATTTGATTTTCTTTATTTTCTTTTTTCTTTTTAACCTAATATCATTAATAATATAAAATATCCAAAATAAATTACTGTAGCTATTTGACCTAATAATGTAAATGGTTGAGCAATTGGTTTAGCTCCTAACCAAATTAAAAAGATAAAATTAAAGACAAAGATCCAAAATAATAAATTTAAAATAGGACGATAACGATTACTTCTAATATTTAAAGTGTGAATTAATGATAAAGGTATTAATATTAATAATGCACTAAACATAGCTATTACACCTAATAATTTATTAGGAATAGAACGTAAAATAGCATAAAAAGCTAAAAAGTACCATTCCGGTACAATAGAAGCAGGTGTTACTAATGAATTAGCTGGTATAGAATTATCAGAATCACCTAATAAATGAGGCATAAAAAAGACTAAAACTGAAAAAGCTAAAATATACCAAAAGACACCTACTAAATCTTTAGTAGTAAAATAAGGATGAAATCTAATACGATCAGTAGTAGAAGAAATACCTTCAGGATTATTAGAAGCATCAGTATGTAAAGCCATTAAATGCATTAAAATTAAAGCTAATAAAATAAAAGGTAATAAGAAATGTAAAGAGAAAAATCTATTTAAAGTAGGATTATCAACACTACTACCTCCCCAAATAAATTCAACCTAATCAGGACCAATCCAAGGAATAGCACTAAATAAATTAGTAATTACAGTTGCACCCCAAAAACTCTTTTGACCCCATATCTAAACATATCCAATGAAAGCTGTAGCCATCTTAATAATAAATATAAATACACCTACTATCCATAAAGTTCTTCTAGGAGCTCTATAAGAACCATAATATAAACCTTTACCTATATGTACAAATACCATCATAAAAAATAAAGAGACACCATTTGCATGAATATAACGTAATAAATAACCATTATTTACATCTCTTACTATATGTTCTGAACTACTAAATGCTAATTCCACTGATGGATTATAATGCTTAGCTAAACAAATACCTGTAATTATTAAAATCTTCTAATTTATTCCTAATAAACTACCTAAATTATATAAATAATTAATATTAACAGGAGCTGGAGAATCTATTAAAAATTCATTAGCTAAACGTAAATAGGGATTAGTTCTAAATACTTTCATAAATTTATTATATATTCTTTCCGGATATTTTACTTTACTATTTTTTTTTTAATTTATACCCTTATTACCTCTCATAGGATAATAAGCTATATATATTGCCTAAGCAATAGCTGATTCAGCACCAGCTAAAGGTAATAAATATAAAGTTAAAGTAGCACCTATAATATCATCCTTTAAAAAGGAAGCATGTACAAATAATACACCAATACCTAATAAAATAATTTCTAAAGCGATAATTAACATTATTAAATTTTCTTTTTTACCACTTATACTCTTAAATGTTATTATACCTACCTTTAACTAACTCATACCTAATTCCTTACCATATGAAGCTATTAAAGTGTTCATAAAATTATAAATAGTCCTAGACTTATTCTATCTAAAAAAAATTACTTATGATTCTTAACATTATTGTCCACTAATTCTTAAAATACCTATTAAAACACACCATAATAAAATACCAATTAAAATAGTAATAAAAGGATAAGCTAAATATAAAATAAAACCAAAAGATTCAATATCAGTAAAAGTAATAAATTCAGAAGAATAAGAACTAATAAAATATTGTAAAATATGAGAATCATCTATAATAAAAGGAGATGTATAAAAATAAGAAATTAAAAAATAAGCTATTAAGATAAAAAATATTAATAAATCTAATCTAATACCAGCTTTTTTAATATTTATATTAGAATAAGAAGATTTAGGTTGAATATCAATATTAGGAGAACGTCCAGAATCAGTCATCATAACAACAAATAAAAATAAAATAGAAATAGCACCAACATAAACTATAATATAGGTTAAACCTAAAAATTTAAAATCTAAAATGATATATAATAAACCACTCATAATAAAAACTAAAATTAATAAAGCTAATCTAGTAATATAATCAATAGAAGAAATTAAAATAAGTAAAGAGAAAATACTAATCTAAGATATAATTATATACTACTTTTTTAAAATCATATATATATATAAAAAATTCTATCCAAATGTAAAATACTTGAGTTAGAGGTGGGAGGAATCGAACCCACATCAATGATTTTGGAAATCATTATTCTTCCATTAAACTACACCTCTTATAATCCCCTAGGTAGAGTCGAACTACCACTAAAAGGTCATGAGTCTTTTATGCTACCATTACATTATAGGGGTTTAATAAAAAAAATATATTTAAAACCTTCACTTTTCTTTAATTTTGTTTTGGACTATTTCTTCTTAATTATTTAAGTTCTACATTTAGTCTCTGATGTTTTAACTAGCTAATTAATGTTTTCTAGCTATAAGTAGAATATATTCAAGCATACACCTGATAATGAAAATAAATTAATAGCAAATGCTAAACTAATAAAAGGATTTAATTTAAAGATACCTGCTAAATCTTGAATCATTTTTAAATCTCTTCCATAAAATTGTGATAAAATTATTATAATTATAAAAATATTTACTGTAGTTATACCATATATTAACATATAAAATATATATCCTTGACTATCTAAACTATATAATGCTAATAACATAAAACCAATATGAGAAATACCACTAAAAGCAAAGAATCTTTTAATATACCATTGATTATTTAAAGCAATAGAACCAATTAATAAAGATAAAGTACCAGTTATTAATAAAATCCATTGAATACTAGGGAATTGTAAAAATAAAGAAAAAGAATTAGATAAAAACAATAAGAAAGTTAATACAGAAAGTTTAGGTATTATTATCATCCACATAGTAGTATTAGTTTCAATATTTTCATATAAATCAGGAGCCCATTGATAAAATGGAGCAGCACTAATTTTAAATAATAAAGTAAATAAAATTAAACAAAAACCTAATTCTATTTGCATCATATTACCATTTCTTAATAATTCTCTAATACAAGTATCAATCTTTTCATAATTAGTACTACCTGTTTTGACATATAATAAATAAACACCTAATAATAAGAAAGCAGTACTTAAAGCACTTAATAAAAAATATTTTAATGAAGCAGCTATACCAGCTTCACTTGAACTTTTTAAACTTACTAATAAATATAAAGACATATTAAATAATTCCCAACTTACAATGGTTAAAATCCAATCATTACTAATAATTAAACAACTAATACCTAACATATTAGTTAATAAAATTAACATTTTTTCTTTTTTATTAACTTTTTCATGAGTTAAATTATTAATCATTTGAGTTTTAATTATAATAGCGCCCATAATAAAAATAAAAAGCATTAAACTCATATTAAATTCAGTTAATTTAATCTTACCATCCATTAAAGAAAGATTTAAAGGTAAATTAATATGATAAGTAGTGAAAAGAAATTGTAAATTAAAAATAATATATAAAAAGATTAAAATTAAAACAATTCTTTTTAAAGTTTCAGTTTTAGTAGTATCTTCATTTAAAATATAATTAGTATGAGATAAAGTTTCTAAAGAACGAATAGAAGAAATTTCATCTAATTTATTATAAGAAATAAAAATAAAAACAAGAAATAAATTTAAAATAAGACCCTTAATTTGTATAAAAAGATACTTCATAAATAAAATAAAATAAAAAATAATTAAGTGTATATAGACTTTAATTATAATAAAATGTAATTAAATAAAATAATAATTTTCTGAGTGACAGATACTGATTCTGCGACCTCTAGCTCCCAAAACTAGTGCTCTACCATTGAGCTACACTCATGAAAATAAATTTAAATCTTTAAATAACTCTAAGTACTAATTAAATAAATAGGATTCATAAAAGAAATAGTAATTAATAAAGTTAATAATGCTATAATATAACTTAAAGTAGAATTAAATTGAATATTTAAAGGAGAATCTTTATGCATTAAAATAACAATATTATCCATTTTCTTATTAGTAATTTGAATAAGATTTAAATATCTAACACAACTAATAACACTACAAAAAATAGCAATAAAAGTAATAGTTAAATTAGTAGTAGATAAAGAATTAATCACAAATAATTTAGCATAAAAGCCTAATAAAGGAGGTATCAAAAAACTCGTATATATAGAAAAGGAGGAGAAATCAAAAATCTTAGAGGGAAAAAATAAAGAGAAGCCATAAAACAGCACCTTCCGGTACCATCACTTTGTTACGACTTATCGGCGAGAGATTAGAAATTTAGCTAATATAACACCGATTGACGGGCGATTTGTACAATCCCAATTGAAGATTCACCGCTAATTTCTAATGAGCGATTACTAGCAATTCCAGCTTAAAATTTCCGAGTTGCAGAAAATTATAAGTACAATACATAAAGGTTATATTACTTTTATCTATGTAACACGTGTGTAGCCCTTCTTATTGGGCCATGAGTACTTGTAGTCACACATAGTTGATGAATACGTCGGTTAATCATTACTGAACTAACTTACAACAGCCATGCAACACCAATAACAGCTATCCAAAAGGTTCTGAAAGAAGGTAAGATTCTGGAGTATCATCCAATTAAACCACATGTTCCACTGCTTATGTCAAGACGCGCCAAATCCATTCCTTTTCTTTGTTGCCAAAATACTCCGGAGGCGGAATGTTTTCCGTAAAGTTAGATCTCTATCTATACATTCAGTATTCAGGGTGTGGACTATTCAGGTATCTAATCTGTTTCGCTACCCACACTTTAGTGATTCAATGTCAGTTTAATTATAAAAAGGAGTTGTCACTTTTCAGTATTCTAACTAATATCAATAGATTCCATCCTTACTTTAGTTATTCTCCATTTTGCTTCTTTTATTCCATTTTTTTGTTTCTCTTATATTACTATAAGGTTTTTTTTACTAATGTTTCTTTTGATTTTTTTCTCAATTTTTTTGTTTTTTTTTTTACTTTTCCACTAGGATTAGATATTTTGATTTTTCTTTTTTCCTTTTTCTATTTTTAATCATTTATATCTTTAATCAGAAGACTATCTTTTTCTATTTAAACTCTAGTTTTCCATCTTATCACACTTCAAGCCTATTCAAGTACTACTACGCTGCCCCACTTGTATTACCGCGGCTGCTGGCACAAGCTTTGGCCAGGACATTAAAAGAATTAGAACTCATTTTGCTCTTATTCTTGACTTTTCTTTCTTTCATCAACTGGGTCAAACTTTCGTTCATTGCCCAATATTCCTCACTGCTGCCTTCGGATGTTTCTCTTTTTATGAATCTAATTTTAGACATTTTTTTATGTTCTTTTCTTTTCTTCATCTCAAACATTGTGGCTTTCGCTAAGGATCATTAGCATGCTTTCGCATATACCTAAACCTTTAGACCTCTTTTCCATTCTTTATTCATTTTCATTAAATTTTTTCCTGGCTTAATTAGTCCTTTACTCACCTCGTCGCAAATTTTAGTTTCTTTTCAATTCACAAGCATGTGTTATGTTAATGAATAGCGTAAATAGTGAGCCATGATCATGCTCATTCAATTTTTTATTCTTTACACTACTCAATCTTTATTTTAAGCTCTTTTTTGATTTTCTTTCTTTTTCTCACTTTTTTTATTTAAAGAAAATTTCTTTTTTTGGTTCAATTTCTTTTATAAGGGGACTCATTTATGAGGACCTTTTCTTCCTCCTCGTAGAGGACCTCCAAAAAAAAAAAAAAAGAAATGGGGGGGTCCAGGGGGGGGAGCCCCCCATTTCACCCCCCCTATATTTTATTCTTATCTTTTAGTTTTAAATCTTCTCAATAATTCAAT